TGGCAACAATAGTGAGGTTGGCCCAGGATTGGGCAGTGTTTTGTTTTGCTGTGCATAAGGTTGCTATGAGTCGGTACCAACTCGATGGCATCTAACAACAACAACAACAACAACAACAACAACAACGACAATGCCGTCTTCAAGAATTTTGAGCTCTTCAATTTACACCAAATCAAAATGGCAGTTTTGGCAGCCTCAAGGGAATCAAATTGTATTCCTTTTAAATGTTCTTTGAGTTTGAAGAACAACTATGTCTGAAGCGGCAAAAGAAGGGATGAAGGATGAATGGGATAAGGTTGCCCATGAAGAGTTATTCCCAATGAAGGTAGTAGTATAGCCCTTGATACCCTAAAAGAATAAGCAGGTGCATTGTCACGAGGGGAAAAAAAAATTCCTTGTGTAACTTTCCTGACATTTTCTCACCAATGCATTTTCAATATTCTTAAAAACTTCGTATTAAACTCCCATTGTCACCCTGTATCCTTCAAGAAAAGCTGTCAAGATGATCCCCTTTGAGTTCCCCTAAAAAAACAATCCCCATAACCTGAGTGAAATCTCTCTGCTGTGAATCTAACTGGCCCAACAGACCCTTGGGAAGCTACTGCTTTGATGGGTCTTTTGGAAGGCACCATAACGACACTAAAAGAAATGTACTAGTGAAAGAACTTACCTGAAGGCATTCACTAATCACAAAGGTATGTGTTCTTAAACGTTTTGTTTGTGTATACATACTAACTGAAATCCTAGTAGCAATAGTTTTTTTACTCATTTTCATATATGATAAAGACAGTATCTCAACTCAGTGGTGATGATACAAAATTTTCAACAAATGGTGTCAGGGTAGCTGGGTAGCCATTTGTCATGGACTAAATTATGCACCCCCCCACCCCCCAACCCCCAAATATGTACCAATTTTGCTGGGTCATGATTTTCAGTGGTTTGGCAGTTATATAATGCTTGTAATTTGGCAATTCTGTAATGATGACATCATTACCCATTATGCAATACAATGTGAACAGCCAATCAGTTGTGAGAGGATTGGGGCGCAATGCAACATGCTTCCTCAGGTCACAGCCCTGATCTGATATAAGGCGCGATAAGCTTGCATCATCTATTATCTTAAAAGAGGTAAGACAAGAGAAGGAAAGAGAGGAGGAGAGATCTGACTACCACTGAGAAAGAAGAGTCAGGAACAGACTGCATACTTTAGTCCCAGGAATCCTGTGCTGGGGACTGCTAGACATAGGGGGGTTAGAGCAATTCCAAGATTCATGGAGATCAATTTCCAAGACAAGCCAGACACACAGATGTTGAAAAGAGACAAGGATCTTACCCCAGAGCCAACATAAAGAAAGTCTTCTTCTAGAGGTGGTGCCCTGAATCTGGACTTCTAGTCTCTTAAACTGTAAGAGGAGTCCTGTTGTAGCACTGTGGGATGGATAAAGCAATGGACTGCAAAGTCAGTTCAAACTGCAAGGTCAGCAGTTTAAACTCAACAGCCACTCCCTGGAAACTCTATACAAGGTCGCTATGAGTCGGAACCAACTCATTGGCACTTAACAACAAAACTGTAAGAGAATAGCTTTCTATTTGTAAAAATCATCTGTTTTGGGTTATTTATTTTATAGCTGTACTAGCTAACTAAAAGGCAATTTAAACCATTTAAAAGGCAAAGCTGGACTTTTCCCTTATGTCACAGATCCCAAATGGTTCAAAGACTTCAGTGGGAGGAGGAAAAACAACAAAAACAAAATACATGAGCATTAGAAGAAAACATGTAGGAAAGACCTAACATTTGACATCCCAAAGCCATAAAAAATACCCCACTGTTTCTAAAGTTTGAAAATGTTGATTATCTCAAAATTTAAAACATCTGCAAGGGAATAAATAGAACAAGACCCACTATAACACACTAGCAAAACCAAGCAATAAACTAAGAAATGTCTATTTGTGAATTTTTTTACAAATAAAAGATAGTTATCTTAATCACATATTAGGTATACAACTCCTATAAATTGATAAGAAGAGCAACAAACCATTACAAAAATGGGCAAAGATATGAACTGACAGTTCATAGAAAATATCAATAGTCCTTAAAGATATTAAAATGTTCAACTATACTCATGAGTTAAATGTAAACTCAAACCATATTTTAGTAATCATCTTTTATACTCATAAGACAGGTAAAAATCCAGAAGTTTCATTATATAATGTATTGATGGAGCCATAGAGAAACAGGCTTGATTATGGTGCACCTTTCTTTATAGCAGAATCGGAATCCTGGTGTGCCGCTGTGGGTTAATGCACCAGACTACAAAGCTGTTTGAACTGCAAGATCAGCGGTTCAAGCTCACCAGCTGCTCCTTGGAAACCCTATACAGGGTTGCAGTGAATCAGAACTGAATTGACAGCAGGAACAACAACATGTGCCTAGTAGAATACATATCTACTGTGTGGTGTCAAGAAGCACCACTTGAGACAGTCATTCACAACTGATGTTTACAGTGTTACTGTAGATATCAGGTACAGTTAGTTTCACACACACAACATACACACACACATATTCCAAGAGGAAGACAGTGCACATGCCAAACACTAAACCCACTGCCATGGAGTTGATTCTTACTCACAGAAATCCCCTACGGCAGAGAAGAAGTGCCCAGTAGGGTTTCCAAGGCTATAATCTTACTGAAGTAGAATGTCACATCTTTCTCCAGAGGAGCAGCTGGAGGATTTGAACAGCCGACCTTTCAGTCAGCAGTAGTGCACTTAACCATTGCACCATCAGGGCTCCTTACAGTACATATGTTGTTGTTATAAAGTGCTGTTGAGTCAGTTCTGACTCACAGAGACTGTGTATAGGGTTTCTGAGGAGCAGCTGGTGGGTTTCATTATCAACCTTGTGGTTCTCAGTACAGTGCATATGTTGTTGTTGTTGTTAAGTGTCATTGAGTTGGTTCTGTCTCATACTGACCTATCTAGAGTTTCTGAAGAGTAGTTGGTGAGCTTGAACTGCCAACCTTGCAGTTTATGCTGACCTTGCAGTCTAGCGCATTAGCAAGCAGTGCCACACCAGTACTCCACAGTACATATAACAGTATATTAATTTGGAAATACAGTCAGAATATGCCAAAAGCTGAGGAAGAAAAAGATAAATAAGGACTGAACTCATCACAGGATGTTCTCAGGAGGAAGGACTTAAAGCAGGATTTGGAAAGAGAGACACAAAGCAGTAATATTCTACTACTCTAGAATACAGATAGGGAAAAACAGTCTTCTTGGGTCAAGATTACAGCCCTGAAAATTGTTCAGTGTTAAGGATTCCTAAATTTACAAGCCATCAAAGGATTTAAAACAAAGTAAGAACCAGGATAGAAAACAGAATTTTGAGTTACATCTCAATACCAACATAACTTATAAAAGGTTCTTTGGATTTGAATGTAGATATAATTAATAGAAACACAGATA